TATGTGCAGAATGATTATTGGCTTTATAGGTTATAAAAAACTGCAGATTGGTCCCTTCGCGAAAAATACAAAATTGGGAAAGCTATAGACTTCACCGCGGCGAATGTTTTATCTTCGCCGAGGCGAAAACTTCCACAGAGCACTCACCGCGGCAAAGATAAATCTTTGCCGCAGCGAAACTTGGAAATCCCCAATATGAACAGTTCGCGGTATTTTGCAGTTTTTGTGTAATAACATGAATCCAAATCAAATCGAATGTACACACGTTCAACCAGGATATCAACCAACCAATATAACATCCATCAACACATTATAAACCATTTTATCATTTGAATCATTCATCCAAAAACAGATTTTTCTGATTTTCTAGTTTTTGCAGATTTTTCAAAAATGACATGTTATCAACCAAATACATATTATAAATCACACAATAAACTGTAGAAATTAATACCTGAGGCTCTGATACCAATGGTAGTGAACGACCCACTTACGCAGCGGAAAACAAAAACATAAATGACATGGATCGTTCCTTAGAACCAAGATCCGGGTATAATATCACAGTTTATATAATATATAAATTAAATCTGCAGAAAATCATATTCAAAGTTCAACAATCTTATGCACATTTGGAGCCTCCTCCAACTTTGTCCTCGAACGTTTTGCTACTGACCCAAGTGTAGGATCGAACCGACGTAGTCCACACGAAGATAATCGCAAGGAACAAAGGAGGGATTTGCTAGATCCTCCTCAGCCTTAAGAAACAAAGAAGAAAATGAGTATTTGATTTTGGCTAAACCAAATCTGGCGTGGGAGAGAAAATGGGGCTACAGGGATTTTCACTTTTCAATGAATAGTGAATGAATGAAAACTATTATCATTTTTCAATTAACACCTTTTCTTTTATAATGTTATTTTACTTGCCCTATTCCCATATGGAATGAGCTTGGGCTCCAACCCAAACACCCCATGTTTCCAAACACCCCCCTAATTAGATATTTATTTTAGTTCATCATTATCTTCAATTAAAATCAATTAATATATATTTAATATATATATTAACATTTAACAATAATGATAATTTATTTAAATATATGCGAACACATATTTAAACGTAATTTTACTTATTTAATTTTTCTAATAAATTAAATAAAGGCTACAACCTTAGCAAATTTAATTGCATTGTAAAATTACCAAAATACCCTTTCACCTAAAAAGACGAAAACGCCCTTCTTTGTTCTTGGCTCTTAAATTATCTTCTATGTGTGTGACCCATAGGCTCCTTATCATACCGGCAGTGTATAGTATCGCGATTAACACCAATTAATTGTCTCACTAATACACAGACCAAGATTGGCCCTTAGCAAGGCATCATGGCCACTCGATAGATTTGGATGTAGCAAGTAGCTACCTATCAACGATATGGTTACCGTACAATTCGATCTTTTCATCATTCGTTATCTCGACGAGATGAAGGCATAGAAATAGTGTCAACCTCCGGTTACTCTCGATATTATGTTTTCAATTTCTGGACCAATGACCTGTATTATAAACCGGATAGAGCAACAACTCAATCCCACTGTGGCCACAATTTTAGTGTTATTGCCATATACTGAATTACGCTATGAGATAACTTCTCCCGTACCCGGGAGTGATGAATCCTCTGTCAATCCACCATAGTCTTGATACACTCCTTGATGTAGCCAATCACCACCGTATTGACAGCTCTGAATAGAACTGCGTTAGGCTAGTGTCAAACTGCACCAATCGGTGCACAAGGTGCTCCGTTGATCTCAAGTCTAAGGATCACATGCACCACCATTCGTTAGAGGATTTGTTCCATAGACACTAGAGTTACCATCCATATGGAATCCTCTAGCGGGCCAGTCCAGGGAACTTGCTACGGTATATCCGCCTACAGCAAGCACCCATGTATTGCACCAAGTTGTCACCAAACAACCTTAACAAGTGAGATCAGTCACTACCTTTTGATAGGGTCGTTCAGCACTATGATAGCCTTACCGTATTATCTGTGCCCTTATTTCAGAATAATACTGGGGCTACGGACGTTTCTAGAATGACCACCTTATGTGCTCATAGGGTTCTCACTATCAAGATTTGAAACACTTGATACCCTCCTCACGGTTCTACCATTCTAAGGACATATATCAATACATATTGCAATAATAATGATTTATGCGATATAGAATAAAATGTCTTTTATTGATTAATGAACATTATTACAAAGAGTCAATTCTACAATAATTTATTGGCTCTAGGGCATCTATTCCAACAAGCAGTGTATGGTGTGTCATGAGCCTCCATAAGAATTCTCTTTTTCAATTCAATATCTTAAGGAATGCATAAGCGATCCCTGAAACGGAGGACACTGTCTAACAGGTGGAATTCTGGTCTCTTGCCCTCAAGCACTTGCTGACTTATTTTCTAACACCACTCATCAACAACTTGCTTTTCTTTAATCTCTTCCAGTAAACTGAACTGAATTTCTAATCTGGCAATCCTTCCTGGTATGACCTCAATCTGTTCTCTATTCAATTCTTTCAATAACTCTTTCTGTTTTGTGAGTCGGGACAAATAGGTTTTTCTGCTCAGGGCATCGGCTATTACATTGGCTTTTCTAGGCTGATACTTAATCTCACAATCATAATCCTTAACCAGCTCTGACCATCTCCTCTGTCTCATATTCAACTCCCTTTGAGTGAAGAAATACTTCAAACTCTTGTGATCGATGTAGGTATTACTCTTAGCACCATATAGCTAATGCCTCAATATCTTTAATGCAAATACTATAGCTTCCAACTCTAAATCATGTGTAGGGTATCTTGTCTCATACTCTTTCAACTGTCGAGAAGCATAAGCTATCACCCTACCCAACTACATCAACACAGCACCGAGTCCCTATAATGAGGCATCTGTATAAATATCGTAATCCACACCCTCCTTGGTAACACCAAAATGGGAGCAGTGGTTAATCTTTTCTTCAACTCTTGGAAACTCTCTTCACAAGCATCTGACCATATAAAAGGAGTTCTCTGTTTGGTAAGAGTTGTAAGCAGCTTAGCCAACTGAGCAAATCTTGCTACAAGCCACCGATAATAGACTGCTAGTCCCAAGAAACTTTTGACTTCTTTTACTGTCTTCAACTTTTGCCACTCAAGAATTGCCTTCACTTTGCTAGGATCCACTAATATACCTTCCTTAGAGATAGTATGGCCCAGAAATATCACCTGATCCAGCAAAAACTCACACTTTGAGAACTTGGCAAATAGCTTCTTTTCTCTCAATTGCTACAGCACAAATCTTAAGTGTTCCTCATGCTCCTTTCTTGACTTGGAATAAACCAAGATGTCATCAATAAATACCATTATAAATTGATCTAGAAAATCATGAAACACCCGGTTCATTAAATCCATAAAGACTGCTAGGGAATTGGTTAACCCAAAAGGCATCACCAGAAACTCATATAGCCTATATCTAGTCCGAAAAACAGTCTTGGCAATATCTTGTTCCGCCACTCTTACTTGATGATAACCTGACCTCGAATCAATCTTGGAAAACACTGCTGCACCTTTCAGCCGATCAAATAAATCATCTATTCGAGGCAACAGGTACTTATTCTTTACTGTCACTTTATTCAACTCTCTATAATCTATACACATCCGTAGCGATCCATCGTTCTTTTTCACAAATAGAATTGGAGCTCCCCAGGGAGAATGACTGGGTCGGATAAAGCCTTTGTCTAGGAGTTCTTGGAGTTGCTTCTTCAATTCCTGAAGCTTGGCTGGGGCCATCCTGTAAGGTGCCTTAGATATTGGTGCAATCCCTAGTGCCAATTTAATACTAAATTCTACTTCTCTTTCCGGAGGTAAACCCGGCAAATCTTCTGGAAATACATCTAAAAACTCTCGGACTACTGGCACATTCTGAATCTCTAGTTATGGGACATCACTACTGTGCAGTACATGAGCAATATACCCAGAACACCTTTTTATTAACATCTTTCTAGCCTTTATACTACTGATTAACATACTCAACTAATGACCCTCTCCAAAACTAAATCTATCTCCGTCATCAAGATTAAATCTTACTTTCTTCTTCCGACAATCAATTTCTACTCCATGCTTGCCAAGGAAATCCATGCCCAAAATAACATCAAAGTCAGGCATATCGAACACTATCAAATCAACAGGTAACTCCCTTCCATGGATCACTACGGACTCCCCTGGAAGCATCTCATGGGTCACCACACTAACCCCATCAAGTAATTCTATCTTAATAGGCTTATGTACTACAACAGGTTTCAAACCTAATCTTTCTACCATTCCATGAGTAATAAAAGAATGTGTAGCTCCTGAATCAATCAATGCATAAAGAGGAACTGCATGAAATAATAATTGACCAGTAACTGCAGATGGACTGGCCTCTGCTTCACCCTGTGCCACTGTAAACACCCTGGTATTGGTACCTCTGGAAGTTTGTACTACGGGTGGAAGAGGAGCTTTACAATCTTTGATCAAGTGCCCTGGCTGTCGACACCTATAGCATACATTTCGGCCTAGCTCTCTTAAACACTCCGTTGGATGGTTCCTCCCACACTTTGGACATGGGGGAAATTCAGGCATTCTTGGCCGTTTACTCTGCTAGTCTCTCTTGTTCTTCTTAGGTTGGAATTTTTTCTTATTCCTCACTTCCCTGTTTCTTGTACCATCAACTCTCTCTCTCGCTCTGTGGAATGGGGGATGGGTCACTTGGTAATGTTGTGGATGGTCCCTCTAAGGTGAGCTTATTTACAAATAATCCTGCCCTTAAAGCTCGCTCTAAAGCTTCACTATAAGTATGAGGGGGCTCAACTCCTGCCATCACATCACGGGCTTCTCTGGTTTTAGCCCATGAACAAACTTATCTTTTCTCAACTCTGGTGTGTTTACTATACCGGGTGCGAACCGTGCAAGAGAGTTAAATCTTATAGAATACTCTTTTACCATACTAGACCCTTGCTTCAAACTGATAAACTCTTGGATCTTTTCATGAACCCGATCCATTGTTTTGTATTCAGCCTGAAACAGTCTCCTAAACTCTCCCCATGTCATTGAAGCCATATCGTGGGTATCTTCCATGAGTTCCCACCAAATTCAGGCATCACCATGAAATAGAAAACTTGCATACTGTATCTTTTCTCTGTCCATCATGGGAAAAAGTGTTGTTATCCGTTCCACGGACCTAAACCATTCCTCAGCCTTTAACGGGTCTATGGTACCCCTGAACTCCAACGATTGGTGTTGGCTTGGGAGCCCATATATAGGCTCGATACAGTTTTGTATTGTTGGTGGTACCGACCTTTCTCTTTCTTCCCTGATGGTTGGTACTCAGACGGGGGTTACAGCTCTCCCCTAACTTTCCACTAGCACTTGTTGTACAATACTACTAATTCTTGCTTCATCAAAAGTATGGGAAATAGGTTCTGGCGGGTTAGAAGTTTCTCCTGCACTCATCCCCTTCTTGATACCTGCTCGAGTTCTACATCTCATCTACAAACACCAACACTTGAATCAACTCAAATAACTTATCCACTACTATAAGTAAGGAAAGAAATAATCTTACAATGGTCGGCTACAGAACGTCAACGCGGCGGGATAGGCACACTGTCAAATCCCAAAATCTTTGCTCTGATACCAAAAATGTAATGACTCTTTCTAACTTATATACTTGGGAAATATAGTACATTAAAAAACACATAAACATATAGTAAAAGATAATGGGCCCAAAAATTTCTTTACTTTATATATATAATTCTTACATTAATAAAAAATCTCATGTACATAAGCTCAAAAATAGTAGACAATGGTGCCATTTCCCTCCGCCTCTCGACATCCATCTGACCGCTTCTCACCTATTTCCTACAAAAACAAAGAAATCAATGGAGTGAGTGTTAGGAAACGACCCGGTTGCTCAACGGAAAACAAAATTTTATACAACCGTAGATCGTTACTTAAAACCCAAAATCAAGGCACAAATTTTAAAGATTATGTATAATATCAAGAATCTGCAGAAAATAAAATAAATCTAAAGTTTAGATTCATACCCACATTTGGAGGCTCCACCAATATTGTCTCTGAACGTGTTTGCTACCGATCCAAATGTAGGATCGAACCGTAGAGGTCCACACGAAGACAAATATGTTCTAGTAAGTATTACTATGGATTTCATAATTTACTCCAAGAAAGGAAATTATATTTTTTTGATTATACAATGAACTTATTATAGTTAAGAAAAAAAATTAAATACATATATCTATATATATGTTTTAAACTACAAGTTTATTCTTTAAATAGGATTTTAAAATAAACTTCTTTCCTAGGCGTGCGTTTTCTAGGTTCTCAATGGCCAAGGGATACTTAGGAAATACCCGGCTAGGGAGGGGTTTTACAGGGAAACTCAATAATCCTTGGCCGTTTACTTTGCCAGTCTCTTCTATTCTTCTTAGGCTGAAATTTCTTCTTATTTCTCACCTCCCTATTTCTGAAAACATCACTTCTCTCCCTCAATGAAGTGGAAGATGGCTCACTCGATCCTGCTGTTGATGGACCGGCTGGGGTGAGCTTGTTCACAAAGATCTCAGCCCGTAAGGCTCGCTCTAAAGCCTCACTATAGGTCTGAGAGGGCTCGGCACTTGCCATTACATCACGGGGTATTTCTGGCTTCAGCCCATGCACAAACTTATCCTTTATCAGTTTTGGGGTACTCAGTACATCTGGCGCAAACCTTGCCAGGGAATTAAATTTCACTGAGTATTCTTTCACTGTATCGATGCCCTGTTGCAAACCGATAAACTCTTGAATCTTTTCATGAACCCGATCAACTGTTCTATACTCAGCCTCAAATAATCTCCTGAACTCTCCCCAGGTCATAACTGATATCTCATGAGTATCTTCCATCAACTCCCACCAAATTCGGGCATCACCCCAAAATAGAAAACTAGCATACCAGATCTTTTCTCGGTCTATCATGGGAAAAAATGTCGTTGTACGCTCTACAGACCTAAACCTCAATACGGTTCTGTATTGTTGGGGGTACCGGCATTTCTCTTTCTTCCCTAGTTGTCTGTACTCGAATGAAGGTTTCAACTCTTTCTGGTACAACTCTCCCCTAACTTTCTACTAACACTTGCTGTATAATATTTTGGATTCTCGCCTCATCGATGGTAATAGAAGTAGGCTCTGGCGCACTCATTGTCTTCTTACTACTTGCTCGGGTTCTAAGTCTCATCTACAAGACAACCACACTTGAATCAACTCAAATAACTCAATTGCTACTTTAAGTAAGGAAGGAATTAACTTACAATGGTCGGCTACGGAACGTCAACGCGGCGAGAGTGGCACACTGTCAAATCCCAAAACCTTTGCTTTGATACCAAAAATGTAATACCTTCTTTCTAGCTAGTATACATTGGAAAATCTTCTATGATAAAAATACATAAGCATAAAAATGAAAAGTAATGGGCCCAAAAATTTCTTTACTTTAGAAATATATAATTCTTTACATAGCAAAAGTATCATATACACAAGCTCAAAACAGTGGATAGTAGTGCCATTTCTCTTCGCTCCTTGATAATCCGAGGATTATACTGTATTATTGAGGCTTTCTGGCTGGATTTTGGATACTTCTTATGTCGTTTTGCCTGAATTGCAATCTAATTTCATATGTTTTATGTTTCAGGCCAAAACATGCACTTTGAGCAAATAATGAGCGGAATCGAGTTCCTGGACCTAGAAGCGAGCGAATCTTAGGATTCGGGGAAGTTCTGAAGCGGATTTGAAGCACTATGAAGCTTGCTCCCATTGGAGAGCGTTGAAGATTGAAGATTCAAGCAAGGAAGCAAGGGGAGGGCAATTCTGTAATTTCAAAATTGTTCAGCAAGGTTCGTCACGACAATAAACTCTCGAGAATTCGTTGCCGCGACGAAGTTTATTCTTCGCCGCGGCGAAGTCTGCGATTTTTAGTTTTTAATTAATACGCACAGTTTTATTTTAGGAAAGTTTCTAGGTTTTTGGACAGACTATATAAGAAAAACTCAGACATTTTGAGAGGGGTTCCTTTTTTTTTACGAGGAGCTTTGACATTTTTGGGAGAAAAAGAGAGAAGATTTGAGATTTAACTTTGCGGATTCATCAATTAGGGGAGATCTTTTACTCTCTTTTCTTTGTTTCAACATGTTGAACGCTATGTTTACTGTTTTTCTTACTATTTGTGTTAATTTCGTTATGAACTAACTCACTTTGGGTTAGGGTTTTGATGTAATTCGGATTTCTATGGGTAATCAATAGATTATTGTTGCTTTTACATTCTATTGCATAGATTGTGTGATTATTCTGATTTTTATTGAATTTATTTGTTGAACATGATGAGATTGAGAAATGAATCATGTATGAGCTTCTTGGGTAATGACCATTGTTGTATTGAACGCTAGAGATAGGTTTGCGAATCAATGAAATCAATCTAGGATTCCATTAGCTTAATGAACTCGGATCTATTAATCTTCAATTTGTTGGGTGCGGAAGCTTAATAGGGAAAAGTAGGAATTCATAGCCTGAGAAGGTATGTTTTACACATTAGGGAGTTCGATTTACAATCCGTCATGTGAGTGTAGACGTAGCATAATTTGTAGAATTAATTCATAGAGTCCTAATGAAGTCAAAACCCTAACCGTTTGCTTTACTTGATATTACCCTTGTTTTAATCTTGCTTTTATTAATTAGCTTTTTAAATACTTAGTAAATTTTGCTGTCAGTTGGTTTTAATTTCTCCCATAAATCCAAACACTTTCGGTTTCTCCAACTTGAAAACAATTAGGAAAATCAGTGCTTAACAACCAATCTTTGTGGGAACGATACTTTTCCTATCACTTTATTACTGGCTGCGACTAGTGCACTTGCTATATTGCATGTTGTAGTAACAACGCATCACTCCTCGACGTCCATCCGACCACTTCTCACCTATTTCCTGGAAAAACATTTAGAAACAACGGGGAGAGCACTAGTTGCTCAATAAGTAAATCCGCTACACTAATCTTCTATCCCCGTTGCTCATATTCTGAATTGTTTCCTTACTTTTTTTTTTTCTTCTTCTTTCTCTTTTCTTTCACTATTTTTAGTTCTCACTGTTCTTTTGTTCTAACTTTCTTTGTTCTTTCTTTCTAGTTTTTTTATTCTTTCTTTCTTCTAATTTCTCACTATCCATGATTGGAATCATGGTGTCATGCATGGATGAGATGCAAATACACAAATGCATAGAAATGCATTCTCTATTTTCTTTTCTATTTCTTATTCTATTTTCTTTCTCTTTTCTATATTTCTTTCTTTCTTTTTCTTTTCTTTCTTGATTGCTTATTCTTTCTTATTCTTTTTCTTTGCCGATTGGACTTGGATGATGCAAGGATTCAGAACCCTAGTCGTGTGAGTGAGTACAGTCCTTATCTACATGCACTCTTACGGACTGTACAAATTCTTTTCTTCTTAGGCCACTCATTTAAGGTTGCGTGCATGTAGGTATTTCTTCTAGGTACAGCCTGTTAGAGTAGATGCCCTAGAGCCAATCAATTATTGTAGAATTGACTCTTTGTAATAATGTTCATTAGCCAATAAAAAGGCATTTTATTCTATATCGCGTAAATCATTATTATTGCAATATGTATTGATATATGTCCTTAGAATGGTAGAACCGTGACGAGGGTATCAATGTTTCAAATCTTGATAGTGAGAACCCTATGAGCACATATGGTGGCCATTCTAGAAACGTCCGTAACCCTAGTATTATTCTGAAGTAAGGGCACAGATAATACGGTAAGGCTATCATAGTGTTGAACGACCCTGTCGAAAGGCAGTGACTGATCTCACTTGTCAAGGTTGTTTGGTGACAACCTGGTGCAACACATGGGTGCTTGCTGTAGGCGGATACACCGCAGCAAGTCACTGGACTGACACCAGGGATTCCACATGGATGGTAACCCCCGTGTCTATGGAACAAATCCTCTAATGAATGGTGGTCCATGTGATCCTTAGATTGAGATCACCGGAGTGCCTTATGCACCGATGGTGTAGTT